ATGCTTACCAAGAAACTCATTTCTGTGTGGAAACCCCCAAGCGCAAGCCTATGTCATTCAAGACACTTCTTGTGGGCTCAGTCTTTATGATCATGAGGGCTCTCCACCATAGTGGTTGGTCAAAGGTGATGATGGGCGTAACACCATGGCGACGAGCATGCTCACACACGAACTTCAGTGTGGAATAGATGCACGTTGTGTGACAGGCACCATGACATGTGGTTTTGGCTGCCATTTCGGCTTTTTGGTCAGGTTTAGCTTATTGAAATGTGTGTCATTGGATTCCTTGTCCCTGAAAATGTATGTTTAGCACTTAAAATCAAAGCTCTATGTTATTTAGAAGCGGAGGTATAGGGAAATATCAGTTGTATGGCGGCCATTTTGACATTTTGAAAAATGGCCGCCATGGAACCTTCCACCACCAAGATTCCTTAAGAGTTTTGATATGTTATAGAGCACATATTTCTGGGTATAAAACAGTTGACAGACTTTCTGTTGCAATTTGTCCGAGGTTGACCCCATTTTTTTCACGAAATGCCTGGACTATATACTCCCATCCTTTTGTCCGTGAAGATATATAGAGACATCGAAAGACATTAACATAGATGCCGAATTTTGCATTGGACCAGCGGGATTCAATTTCTCTCAGCTGCATCTGGAATTCTGATCCCGCATCTACATACTAAGCTCTGTGAGATACGGCTATGAAGGACTGATAACAGTGGAGACTTACGGACAGTAACTAGAGAACATTTGTAACCCAAGTAGCAGGGCTTAGCAACCCAGCCCGGGACCCACGCGGAATAATCCATTGATCCAGGTCTCTAACGCCTGCATAATTGTTTGGGGACTCCTGTACATTGGCTCTGTGACACGGGTCGTCAGCAGGACACCTACATAATGGCTTTGTGACTTCTATATATACGGCTTGACGACGTGGGCCACTTCACAATGACTTGGTGACTTCTGTGTAAACACTTGGTGACCTGGCTCACAGCCTACGCATCATGGTTTGGTGACTCTTGTATAATAGTTTTGTAACCCCTGAATAATGACTAACTTGCCATTTTCGCTGCATGGCAATGGCAACTAACTTGCCATTTTTCACTGTGTGGCAATGACAATTAACTTGACACTTCCCCCAGCATGGCAATGAAAACCAACTTGTCTTTTCTTCATGCATGGCAATGTCAACTTACATGTATTTTCTCCCTGCATGGCAATGATAACTAACTTGCCATTTTTTGCTGTGTGGCAATAAAAACCAACTTGCCATATATTTTTGCATGGCAATGACACACTTGTTGTTTCACCCTGCATGACAATGACACATATACACTTACTTGTTGTTTCTCCTTGCATGGCAATGATACACTTGCACTGGTGTTCTATCTCGCGCTTGTTGAACGGCCGCACGCGAACGGCCACCTTCACCGACGACATGTTGCTTGTTGTGCTCTCAGGAACCCAACCGGTCACCTGGTTCTCGCTTAAGTTTCAGTTACGCCTGCCAAGTAAAGAACACCCACCGTCAACATCAGCGTCTTATATTCAACATTGCGTGTAGCGTACAACATGAATGTTACTGACTGTGTTATTACACAGGAGTGCCCGAGCATAGATGCAGCAAGATGGCCAGAACATATATATATATATATATATATATATGACCCGTGTGGTGATGACCTATTGATCTCGCTTAGGCTCTCCATCTGAAATACGCAAGCTAGGCTATGTATAAAACGTTAGCATGTAGTCATGCCTAAGCTCTCCATCTGAAATACGCAAGCTAGGCTATGTATAAAACGTTAGCATGTAGTTATGAGACATGCATCTAATAGAGTGTCAACGCATGGTTGCTAGTGTACGGTTGAAACATTCGGATATGCGGGTCGATATATCTACTTAAATTATACTAGAATGACTATAAATCAAGTCACAAACGAATAAACACGCAGACGTGACGGTGAACACACGTGACGACGTGTCGTTGCAGCGACATGGGACGTTGACCACGGAGAAACAGATGACAGTATATGTTTGCACTTCCCATATGTCACCCGACCGGTCACAACTCGACAACTGCTGACGTCACACATCGACCAGAAACCCACCGCATCTAGGAAATTACACACTCACACATGCACGCACGCGCACGCACACACACACGGCAGACAGACACACGCCATCGCACGACGCAGCGAACGCGCGCACACACACACAACACACAACACACACACACACACACACACATACACACACACGCACACACACAGACACACACACACACACAGACACACACACGCACGCACGAACGCACGCACGCACGCACGCACATACACACAAACATTCTCCCCACGTCACACGCCGATCTCTCCTACCTGGCCGCTCGCCGGCGGGCGGGAGGGCCGCACCACTCACCTGCGCACCCTCGCCTCGTGTAGCGGGAGCACCAGCACGGCGGCTCACTCTCACCTATCACATGCTACCCTAACACGGACGCGATCTACACGCACAATATGTTTTCGGCAACCGGAGTCGACGTCGACCGCAGCGAGAATGGCTGCGCGCAATCAAAGATGGCCGCTCGCCGCCGCCGCCGATCAATATTCCCGCCTCCGCTGATGCAGAGAGAGATAGAGCGAGAGAGAGAGAGAGAGAGAGAGGAGGGAGGAGAGAGGAGGAGAGAGAGAGAGTGAGAGAGAGAGGA